GAGCGTTAAGAGAAATCTTACTAGCTATTCCTTCTAGAGTATTAAGAGAATTTGAATTATGTAGATTATTTTTTTTTTATGATTTCCTGAATTAAATGAAATGTACGTATAATAAAAATTAAGTATATGTATGTATGTAAATGACAGCTGTAATTTGAATTTGGCTAAAGAAAAAAAAAACAAATACATTAATTATGAGTTGAAGGTCTGATCGTTTCTCTAGGTCAACATGAGGGACTAGTGCTTTTCGTAGATTGGTGTGGGTGTTGCACCAGGGCAGCAGGGGGAAGGCGGATGCAGGGCGACACAATGACACACTAACTTGTACAGGACGGGACAGTAGACTAGACGTACTTAAGTCGGGATCAGGGGGGCGTTGTAAGGTAAGAGGGGTCAACACAACGTCCATGGCTTCGCGTTACACACAAGCAGAAGAGGGTGGGTAGACTCCACCCGACAGGACGATTCTTCTGCTATTCTTTCAAACTTTCTTTCCTTTTCTTCTCGATTTCTACATCCAAACCTATCCTACTTATGTCCCGAACACAGGCATGAGTAAATTTGCTTATGTGTGCTGTAGGTAAGGGCTGTGGAGATAACCCCCCCCCAACGCTATAGCCCAGTAAAACTTTCATTTACCGTCTTCTTCTTTCTTACCCTTTACATTTCCGCTTAATATCTATTCAATTATTAAAGTCCTTAATATCTTCAACTATCGGACAGTTTAGGGTCGTAGCGGCAACATCGCCAAGATTCGTCTGTAGCCATAAGTGCCGCGATGAGAAAGTAGTGGGGGGGTGCCGTTCCTTTCCCCAGGAGTTCCTTCGTCATACTTCCACGTGTTATGAGGTGGTATCAGGAGAAAGGGATTGGCAAAGCATGAAGGTAATTCGGATTTTGTACATGGAGTGTGGATAGTCTGCTTAAGCTACAACATGTATGACCTAGCGCCATTCATGTGTGAGGTTTGCAGACCGTCTATGCAAAGGGTTAGGGGAAGTCGTGACAACTTAGCTTAGAGCCAGTGCTTTCAGTTTAATTGTGCCACCAGTCAACCCAGTCAATTGTATTAACAGATAATTCAATTACAGCGCATACATATAAAAATTAATTAGATAGCATAATCAAAACATTTCAATGAGATTGGATGAATTTTGATATAGCTTTTAGGCAGTTATCTAGCTATAGTCATAGGGGTATTTACATGTATTTGTACGTTACAAACCTGAATTTTTTTTAATCATTAAACGTTAGAACTGCGAACTAAATTTTGAATTGAACTTTTACCCAATCCTCATTACGTAGCACATCCAAGCTATGCTTTGTTTCCTGTAAATTTATGGATTTAATCAAAACTGAGCTGGAAAAGTGAATTCTTTTTGTTTTTTTTTTGTTTTTGAATTTGACGTTCTTCGCAAACTTTGAATGTATTGAATTTGGCACTATAGCAAATTGAATTTAGTTCTTGGTATAGTTTTGATTTTTTTTTACTATTGCAATTAATAGTTTATTACATCGCTTTCATTGGTAGTTTTAATTTGTTTATGATTCTATATTATTAAATTTTGAAATCTACTTGAATTCCTCTTCTTATATAAA